CCTCCTCCGTGTAACACCCCTTGATATCAAAGAAAAGAACACGCGCTTAGAAGACGCGAGTGAGGGCGCGGCGCCAAGCAGGCATGGCGGCGACGCGGGCACGGTGGGCGTTGATCTCCTCCCAGTTGTGCTCACGGAGACCAGCATCGAGATCGATCTGGTCAATGGTGAGCCAACCAGTGCGCTTCCAGAAGTAACCGCAGGCCCAGAAGACGAGGACGACGGGAATGGCAAGGCAGGACATGAAGAAGTCCTCAGCAGTGCCGGGGCCGGACTGGCCGTAGGGCATGATGGCAACGAAGATCTGGGCAATCAGGATGACAGCGCAGAGAGTGAGACCCATGTACGAGCCGTAGACACCACCAGCAGCGTGGAAGGGGATCTGGTCGAGCGAGCGACCCTGCCTCTTCCAGGCAGTGCGGAAACGAATGTGGCACTGGGAGGTGTTAGCGTTGGAACAAATGACTGAATAGCGGGAGGCAGAACGTACCAGGCAGATGGAACCCCAGGTGAAGAGAGCGGCCAGGGCGGAAAGGGCAAGGAGCCAGTCAAAGACGACGGAGCCGTGGGCGCCGAGGACAATGTAGGCAAGGCCACCCCAGGCGAGGAGGAAGAGAACAGACACAAGGGGACGGCCCGACTTGTCAACGTAGGTGAAGATCTTAGGGGCGTAACCGGTGTGAGCGAGCGCGGACAGGGTACGCGAGCCGCCATAGACGCAAGAAACACCGATAGAGACGACAGAGATGCAGATGACAACGTTCATGAACGAATCGTAACCCTTAAGACCGGCATCCTTGGCGGCCAGGACGAAGGGAGAAGTGCCCTCAGCGTAGGGGTTCTTGGCGTTGAGGAGACGCTCGTCGCGCGAGGAGACGAGAAGACCGACGAGGGTGAGACCGACAATGTAGAAGAGGGTAATACGCCAGAAGACCTGCTTGACGGCACCAGGAAGGGCTCTGGCAGGGTTCTCAGACTCGGCGGCGGCGAGACCGACAAGCTCAGAGCCGGCGTAGGAGAAGGCGGCAGTGACGAAAACGGAGCAGAAGCCCTTGAAGCCGTTCTGGAACGCACCAGGATCGCGCCAGTAGATGTCGCCGTGGTACTCGTCAAACTTGTAGCCCTTGGGACCACCACCGCAGATGAGAACGACAGCAACGATCATGAAGATGACGATGGCGGCGAGCTTGAAGCAAGAGCTCCAGAACTCCTCCTCAGCGTAACCCAGAGTGCCGAAGATGTTGACGATGATGATAACAACCCAGAAAACAGTGATCCAGACAGCGTCGCTAATTTCCTTATTCCAGTACTTGACGGTGAAAGAGCAGACAGTAAGTTCGAGAGGCAGGACAATCAACCATTGGAAGACCTGGCGCAAGGCGTTTAGTCAAAATGTATCAACAGACAATTGAAGCACGAAGAACTTACGTAGTTCCAGCCCATGGCGAAACCCCAAGAAGGATCGATGAAGCGGGTAGACAGAGTGTAGAAACCACCAGAGACAGGGTACATAACAGCGAGCTCGCCGAGGGCGTGGATGACGTTGAAGATCATGACACCGGCGATGGAGAAGCAGATGAGGACAGAACCGGGACCACCCTTAACAAAGGCGCTACCGGAGCCGACGAAGAAACCAGCACCGATGGAACCGCCGATGGCAATCATGTGCAAGTGACGGGTCTTCATGGAGCGATCGAGCTCGACGTCGCCGGTACCGAAGTCACCTAGGCGTTGTGTCAGTCGGGGTTCGAGGTCTCAAACAGCGGAGGGTGGGAACGTAGGCCGAGTGGGAGAAGCGGCCCGAGGCCGGCGGAGGAGGTCTGTACATACGGCGAGTGAAGGAGCGGAGGTTGAGACCGTTACGGGTCATGAAGTCCTGCTCACGGAAATCCTTGGGGACGTTGCCGTCGCCGGCGTAAGGGCGATTGCTCTCGAGCTTGTCGGCGTCGAGACCCATGGGGTCATCGACGGTGGGGGGCGCGGCCGTGGCCACGCCGAGGGCGGTCTCCTTCATCGACATTGTTGCGCTCAGTCGGTGTTGAGCTTGGGGTTGGTGATTTGGTGAGGGTTGAAAGAAGGAATGCACCTCAGGGCCGAAGAAGGGAGGACAGAGCTGGGCTGAGGGGGGGGGAAAGAAGAGAGGTGACGAGAGAGGCGGAAGGGCAGTCTTTTATGAAAGTGCAGGTGCGAACATCCGTCTGCTCTTGCTGCTGCCGCGACTCCTGGGATTGCTGGTGCTGCTCCCGCTCCTGGTCTTGGGTCTAGGTCGAAGACCGGGGGGGGGGCAGCCGAAGGCAAGAACACGCCGGGAAGGTACAGTGCAACAATGGGAGCTACTTGGTCGCTGGCTGCGTCCGGCCGCCTTCCATGCATGGAAGGATTCCAGTGTCGCCGTATCAGGGGCGTGGCGCTGATTGGCTCACTAGGGGGTGCTCACCCTGGCTCCCCTTATCCCCCAGGTGCCCCCAGCCCACCCAAACACAGCACCAAGAGCACCTTACTTAGTGGGTCCTCTAGCCAGTGGTGACCTGTCTGCTTTGCCAGTTGGGCTGGGCAGAACACCCACTCGGTCCTGGTTCCTGTGGGAGGGGCAGCTGCGACGTGCACCAGTGCGGCAAGCGAGAGGTGCCCCAACATCAACCCTGCATTGGCAGGTGCTCCTTCCCATCCCGGCACCGGCTCGAGACTTGGCTCGTCCTCGTATCCCTGTCGCCCAAGCCCTCGAGAAGGGTCCGGCCCCAGCTCGATCGATCCACCCGACAACAACGGCAGGCGCAGAGTCGCGCAGCCTGGGCCCCACAGCCTGTATGCCTAGGAGCTGCTTTCCAGAAAGGGCAGGTGCGAGCGCGGTCGAAATTGGCTGGAGCTGCCGCCAAGTGATTAGCTGCTACACGGCCCACCACCAACCAGCACCTGCTTCCGGAGTCTTGGCTACCTAAGGTACCCACCCAGGCCACCTTACCACCTTACCAACACCACCCAGTTGCTCTGGCCTGGTCTTGCTGGGCTTTTGCCTCTTACGCACCCCCTCCCCTTTCAACTGCCACTGAATTCCTTGTCAGTCTGCAGTCCACCCAGGTAACTCTGACTGCCTTGCAGTTGCCCGGCCCTCTGCCGCGACGCGACTTTAATTGGCCAGGCGTGGAGGGGCATGCTTTCCCCACGCAGATAACGGAGCCGCCTATCGCCCATGGGACGGCGATTGATTCGTTGGGGCTTGCTGATGCCAAGGCTGGGATTGAGCACCTGTGCGACTCTATGCCCCATTTCCCAATCTCTGGCAGGCCTCAGCGACTCGTCGAGTGGCTCGGTTGCGCACATCGCCATCGGTGCATCTCTGGTATCATTCGCCATTCATACTGAACTGATTTGCCTTTTCCCCCCCTCTCCCTTCACGACACCCCTCACTTTGGCGTCAGGTCGTCGCTCCCCCTCAGCCGATCCTATCCTATCTTAGCAGCTAAGGTAGATATCCCAAACCACATACCTAACATAGGTAGGTAGGTGGTGCCTTCAACGGCCATGTGGCTTGGTGGCTGACTTCTATTTCTTGCCTCTGCCCATGCTTGGATCTTTTTGGCGAACAAGTGACACTGGGTAGGTTCAGGCAGGTGTGCCACAACAAACGGCATGACCTCAACGGCTGCTGGCATGCATCCCGCATTCCTCAGGCCCCCAAACTACCCACAAGACGCCGAAACGATCATGAGGAGTGCTGTGCTGCAGGCTTACGGGG